TCAGACTCAGACTTGACAAGTGGTCGGGGCATGGGCCTCTACTCGTCTTTCTGTCCTGCAAATCTGGGCTCTGTTCTCTGCACAGCACTGGCAGCCACTCGAAAGAGACAGAGACATGCAAATTTTTGAAGACACTGACGCTATGGCTGATCCAACCAAAGTTGCCGAGCTGGTGGAGGTTTTGGGAAGGGGAGTTGATGCTTCTGGAGCTGCAGCATTGCTTCTCGCAGCGGACGGCAACCTGGAGCTGGCTGTCTCTATGTTTTTCTCCTCTGAAGAGCAGGGCCCCTATTCAACTCCACTTGCATTGCCTGCTACAATATCTGCTGATGAAGCGGGGCCTTCGAACCTGAGTTTCTCGAGTAGGCAAGTCCTGTCCAATGTGCGTGGATCGCCTGCCGAAAGGGCTGCTCACTTGGAAAGTGGTGACTCTTTGGACAGAGCTCATCTTACGCAAGAGAGAGCGGGGCCGAGAGACGCCAGCCGAACAAAGCTTCAAGAGAAGGTAGCTATGCTTCGTGAGCTGGTAGGCCCCGGTGTTGAGGACGCCTCTCTGGTGAAGAAACTGAGGAAGGCCAAGGGGTGTGTGAATGCGGCGGCAAACACTCACTTTGCACAGGTGCAGGCTTTGCAGAAGCGGCGGGAAAAGAAGGAGAGCCAAGGAGGTGGTGATCAGCGGGGGTTTGCAATGAGCTGCACTGATGAAGTGATGGAGGCTGCTGAATTGACTGGAGGTGCTGAAGGTAGGCTAAAGGAAATCTTCCATGCTTGTGAAAGCACCTAATCAAGAATGTCTTGTACATTAAGTAGGCAGGTCCTTGTGCTTCCACTCTGCTCTGAGTTCGTGAAGCAGCAGTAGCTAATACATGTGGCAGGGAAACAAGGGCGCAATGCTTGTGAAATCAGTGCTGCTAAATACAACCAATCCTGAATAAGAATTGGTTATGGAAGCAAGGGCGAATCAGTGTGGTCGTCTATCAAGGGTTGTGTATCAAGCTCTGACAGCACCCAATGAAGGTCCAATTCATCAGACATTTGGGAAGGGCTGGAGGGCGCGCTCAATCAGGTCATAAACCACCTGACTTCTATGCAAAAAAGAGCTGGCTTTGGTTTTTCATATTTCGCTAATTGTTGAATTGGTCCAAAAGTATTCTGCCGCAACAGTCCCTTTGGCCAACTACTTAGGCGATTTTGAAAAGGCACTACATATCTCTTGTCATCTTTCAGTCCTTGCAGAAACGCATGCCTCCTCTGGTTCTCATCTGTTGACATCATGCCTTTCACAAGAAAACGAAGACCAGGAGACATGACAAGGGAGGGGCATTTTTGCTGATTGTGTCAAGGCTATCACTTGCAAACTAGTCCTGCTTGCTTCTCACTCAACTTCTCACTCAACTTGTGACAGATGGTGGCCCCAGCATCAGAGGCCCGGGCTCACATAAGCGGCCGTTCTTATCGCCTGAAGATGCACCGCACGAGTCTGCACTACGTCCCCAGCGTGTTCGCAAGCGGCTGCGCTCTTCACAGGATCCAACCCAAGAACCCATCCCCCAGACCACTGTGGTCATCAGCCAGGAGGAGTTTGCATACCGCAGTCAGTCCGGGCAACATTTCATGTTACCGCTGAAGAATCATCGCAGCCCGGACGGTCACCTCTGCGGCCCCCTTCCTGAGACTGGCTTCGCAGATTATAAGGTGACACCCTTGCGCAAGCTGGACTTTTCGGGTCCTGGCTTGCACCTCGGTTCGTTCACTTTGAGCGCCGACTTGGTCCAGGGGGTTGTCATCGGAGGGGAAAATGCTTTCCTAGATCTTTCCTGGGACTCTCGCAATGGAGGAGCAGCAGGGTTCCAAGTAGGGGTGACGTATCAAGCTCCAAATGGGGCCTTCAGCATCAATAAGCACTTTGTGACGACGTTAGGGCGCTGCCGTGAGGAAAGAGACAGCGCAGGGATAGCCGCACGCATTGAAGAGGCGCTTTGCAAGCTGCATTCAGAGGACTTTGTGCGGCTCTTCGTGACAATGGACTCGTGCGACGAGCTGGTCTCAAACTGGAAAGCGCGACAGAAGGCGGAGAGCTCACGTTGTTTCCTTGAGCGGATGGATGGCAGCGGTAGAAGGGTTGCGAGGGAGGATCTCACGGAGCGGCCGACTGGCGTCACACCAGTCCGCCTCTCAGTCCCGCTCCAGGAGTCAGCGGGAAAGAAAGTGTTCAATCTGCACGTCTGCCTGACGGAGAAAGCCTTCCAGTTCGACGCCGAGATCGCAAATAACACAGGGCTTGCCAAGCACGCTAAGGCATTCGGAAGGAGCCGAACCGGCGGCAAAGCGCTCGCTGACGTCACTGAGGCACTGCTGAAGCATGGGGGCGGCCTGAACCTCGGGCCGGACTCAGACAGTGTGCTTAATCAGAACCCTGGGGGCGCGGAGAACCTGGGGGAGGCGCTACCAGCTGATCTACCCGGCATCCTGGATTCCATCGCCTTGCCCGACAGTTTTCCGGAGGCGGATCGCCCGGCGGGGCTGGTTACGAAGCCAAAAAGGTATCAGTTGCAGGGGCTAGCTTGGATGATGGCAAGAGAAGGCGCGGAGCCGAAGGGACGGGAAGCCCCAAACTGGCGCACAGAGACGGGAAGGGTTGGCTCGGCTGTTGAGGAGTCGGACCGTTTGCTGTCGGCAGGGCAGAGCTCGGCCGGAAAGCGGACGGTTGAGGAAAGTGGGGCCCGGGTTGAGAGCGACGGAGCGAAAACAGGAGACGCCGTTCCTGATCCAATGGCCGCCTCGACGGGCGTGCATACAGGGGAAGTTGAGGCGAGGAGAGAAGCGTCAGACGGAACCCAAACAGCCGGCGGTTGTGCCGTGGCCTGCGCGGACATCTGCAACCCCCTGTCCAATGGTCTGGGGTTCCAAGGGGAAGACGATTTGGCAGCGGGAATGGGAGAACCGGGACGGGAGGGGGGAAGAACGGGGTCTGCAGCCAGCAGAATGCACCGGGAAGCTGGGGGCGCGGTTCCAAAGAACGAGCTGTTCTTGCACCCGTGTTGGCAGCAGTTGCTAACCGCAGACGGGCAGGTGATGTACATGCAGAGAGAGGGCGGAACGTGCAGTCCCGACTTTTATGTGGCGCCGGGCCAGGGCACGTGTGGAGGCCTTCTCTGCGACGAGATGGTAGGCGGAACCGAGTGCTGATTTGGATCCTACGGTTACACCGTCCTAGTCCGGCGTACTTTGCTTCTGTTGATCGCATGTCTGTTCCGGAAGCGCAATCTTCTGTGTGAAATTGTTGGTGGTTCGAACCGTCACTTTGCGATTCTTTGGCAGGACATTTGCTGATGCGAAAGATGTATCAGCGGTCCGGGCTGATCCCCTGAAGTGGTTCCGACAAGACGGAGCTCAGAGTTGCTTTGGCATGCTGAAACGGGCGTGACTTGGCCCAATCTCGGAGAAACGCTGGCTTTGTGTTAGCGTACGTGCCTCTCGGTATCGTAATCTCACTACCGTGCCACTCAGAATCACTTCTGTTGCATGTGCATCAGAAGAACGAGATGACAGTGCACCTCCGGCCAATCATTCAATTCAGAGAGTCATGCCGACAAGGCAAGCGCAACTTTCCCTGGCAACTACTGGTAACTTAGCCCCAACTTACACCCGTTTCCATCCTCCGCCAAAAGGTTCAATTTGTTCAGAATACTTAAACCGAACCTGACTCGATTCAGCTGACCTGCATCTATTCCGATCCCCCCCAGGGCCTCGGCAAGACCCTTGAGGTGCTCATGCTCGCGCTCGCGCACCCCCCGCCGGACGGCTGGGCTGTGGCTGACAGCCACTCCGATTCGCCAGGGGGTTCCGTCATTCCCATAAAGGCCACGCTGGTGGTCGTGCCCGCGAGTCTGTTAGACCAATGGAAGGAGGAAACGAAGCGACACGTGGCACCCGGAGGACTGGAGTTGCTCCACTACCCGGGGATCAAGGGAGCGGCCAGAAGGAGGCTGGAGGAGAGAGGAGCGGCGGGGGGGCCGAGCTGGGACTTTGAGAAGTATGACATTATTGTGACATCCTACGAGGTGGGTTGGTCGTTGTGATGTTGAGCTGGCAACAGAGATTCTTTAGAGCGTCGAAGTGTCGAAGAGCATCTGATTTGCAGCTCGATACATGTTGTATCCGTGGTCAACTTTGAGCTGGCTCGAGCAGGGACCGATTCGACCGGTCAATAAAACGACAGACCGGTTGATGAGTGCTTGTTCAAGCTTGCGGAAGCGGTTATATTTTTCATGATGACGACGTGATCCTGATCAGAGGGATCATGAATTGAGGGGCGTGGCACTAACACCTGTGACTTTAGCATTGGTCACTAAGTTCGTCGTCAGAAGTCCTCCAAGTCGTTTTTCCAAGTGTGCCATGTGCGGCCAACCCTTAAACTGTGCCACTTTCGTGAGCCATCCCGGTTAGTTCGTCAATGAATATATGGACGCGACAGGAATATACGTGGACATACTCCAGATATTGGTCGAACGATGCAACTCAGTCGGATGCGCTCTGCTCGTGTTCAGACGCTGGGGAATCAGGCTAGGATCTGCCAGGTTGTCCATTGCGGGATCAGGCGCCCCGCTTTTGGCTTTAATACTGTTCAATCAAGTCATATACCTTTTGAAGCGGGGTGGGAGCATATGCGGTTTGTTCGGACGCTCGTTGGACAGCTTTCGGACGCTTGTTGGACAGTTTTCGGACGCTCGTTACACCGTAGGAACGCCGTCCAGGTTGTCTGCTATGAGATGGGCGCCGTACAGCGCCCCTACATTATTGCAAGATCGATTTCCAAGTCTCTGACGGGCACTCTCCCATCAGAGTCCGAATGGGTTTGGATGCTCTTCAGACGCTCTCAGACATTATTCGGACCCCTTTGAATGCCGTTCGGACGCTTTCAATCGATACTTAGAGGCTTTTGAACGCGATGAACGCCTTTGAACGCTCTCAAGCGGTAGACGGCTGTCCAGGTCGTCCGCAGCGAGATGAGCAGCGTACAGCCGACCCCCCTGCGGCAGTTCGGCTTCTGGCGGCTGGTGCTGGACGAGGCGCAGGTGGTGGCCAGCTCCGCATCCAAAGGCGCGCGCACCGTCGCCAACATCGTGCGCCGCCACGCCTGGGTCGTTACAGGTGACGTCATTACGCGTTTATTGGGTTTCTTTACCTGTTCTGGGGGGCGAAAGGAATGTGAAGCCGGCAGGAAACAGCTCATTCAGGAGAGAAAGCCGACTAGCACAATCGTTTATGCTATTGATCATTCTCGGTCCTTGACTGGGAGTGATAGCGGCGTCGGCGGACCCACTCAATTGCGCTTTCAGCTTCCAGTGTCGGTATTTTGCCGTTTGTTGAAGAAAGCGCCTAAACAAAGAACTAAATCTACGGTCTTGGAGCTGCAAATTTTCGGTTCCGAGTATTCTCCTGTCAGTTAACGTAAGCAGGAACGTCAGAGAACCTCCTCGTCGATTTGCTGTGCTTCAGATCTGCGTCAGCTCGACCTTGTTTTGAAAGCACAAGCCTGAGAGCCTTCCAATTCGTTGACCTTTCTAGTACCCTACCCAAAAGGTAAGCGCTGCGAGTCTGAACGTTCTGAGCATGGACTTTATTGGATGGATGATATCAAGAGATGTTTTTGCAAAACAGAACCCGAGAAATCGGCTGACAATGAAGCGACTCGACCAAGGATACAAGGGGCCTGTCCGTGGGTTAGAAGGAGTTACGCTTTTGAGGCGCCGCTAATTTTGGACGAGCCCAGAATGCTCACAGTGCGGAGCAAAGCAACCGAAGTCTGTACTCGGACCAAAACGCCTCCTGAGATTTTTTCAATTGGCGCAGGCACGCCTATCACTAGCCGGCTGGAAGAGCTGGGGTCGCTGCTTGACTTCCTGGGGGAGCCGTTCGGCGACCCGATGGTCTTCCGCACCATGCTGACGTCGCCCTTCGAGGCCCGGGAGGAGCGCGGACTGCGGCGGCTGCAAGCGCTGCTCCGGAGCATCATGCTGAGGAGGACGAAGGAGGGGGTGAGCAATTCTGTTCTAAGTTCGAGTCAAGTTGAGCCAAGTTGACGCAAAGATTAGGTCCCGGGAGGATCGCACTTGTTTGAAACCCTAGCTACAAACCTGCACGTTCCGCACCTGAAAGCAGGCTAACCCCCGTGAGAAACCGCACCCGTCCTTCGGGCACTGATCTACTTCGACCTGACTGTTTCTTAACAGTATCTTAACTGCTTCTTGAAATCGATACTACTGGTGAGGAGGCTAGGGGGCTTCCTGTGCTGTTGTTTGTGTCATCCTCGGTGCGTTGTTGGTTTTGACATTGGTCGATCGCCTGCTGGTTGATAGATCTGGTCGTTCTGACATTCTTCCATCGGGTGTGGGAGTCTTCTTAGGTCTAAGTCAGTGGCGGGGTGCGTACTTAACTGGCCAGCTGTCTCGAGTAGTCCTACTACCGCGATTCGTTTCTTGTTGAGCGAAAGCGCCGGGGGTCTGGCGCGGCAGATGCTGCTGGAGCGTAGACGCTTGACGTGCAGAATAAGGAAGGTTGTTTCAGCAAGACCGTCTCTTTCTCGGGTACCTATGTCATAGCAGAATGTGCACAAAATTCTAACCCCTCCGATCCCACGGATGACAAAAGGTGCAAGTCCAATAGCCGATGCCAATTCAATGCTCCGAAACAAACGAAGGCTGAAGCCCAGCATCCTCTCAATACTCAGAAAAGATATATTGAGACAAGATACTGATCTCCAAATATCCAAGTAGTTCCGAAGTCGAATAATATTTCTGCTCCGCACCCCCACCCACCCTAACACCCAAATTAATCCTACCCGTCCCAGTGCGTGAACTTATCAAACTCTGTTTTAATTACTCGTTCTTGAGTTCGATCATCTTCTTCCTGAAGGTCGCGCACGAGCTGGGCCTCCCCCCCTGCGTCATCGAAGACCGCCTGCTGACGTTCTCTCCCCCGGAGGCGACCTTCTACCGCCGCATGCACGACGACTTCGCCACCGCGCTCCGCCGCCTCGACCGCCTGGAAAACACACAGAAGCTGCGCGACGAGCGTCTCGTGGACGTAAGTTGTGAAACATCGAGCGGAGAAAACTTCCTGCTTTCGCTTGATCGTTAGCTGAGGACCCGTGGATCAGTCTGTCTATCACAATTGTACACTTTTTCCCCCCTGGGCTATACCGAAAGAAACCGTACATAGTGTTGCCGAGCTCCGTTTCACCTCCTGAACCCGGGCATCGAAAGGTTTGAAATGCGGGCTCGGACTGATGCGATCGGTTAACAACAGGAACCCAATGGATAAGTTTCCTTGTTTTGAGACCCTGCAGGGGTTCGACGCGAAGAACCTGGGGATGAAGGCGGGCGGCAACGCGCTTGCGATGCTCAACCGGCTGCGGCAGGCGTGCTGCCACCCGCAGATCGTGAAGAACGGGGGGATGAGCCTGGGGCGCGCGCGGTTGTCGATGCCACAGATCATGGGTGAGGGATGACATCACGCTGACCCTTAGCACAGGGTGTCTTGACCTTGTTTTATTGTATACTTCTGGTTTTGAGTCTCGCAGGTTGTTCCAAGATGAGCCTGGGGTGCGCGTAGCTGTCGATGCCGCAGATCATGGGTGAGGGGTGACGTCACGCTGACCTTTGACTTTGGGTGGGCTGACGGCATCTTTCATTCTCCCTGCATTCGAAGTCTTGCGAGTTGGTCTGGGACGAGCTTGGTGCGCGCGTAGTTGTCGATGTCGCAGAATCAGACAGATCGTAGGTGAGGGGTGACGTCACGCTGACGTCGGACAACGGATGATGACCTTTTGAGGCCGGGCCGTCTCACGGTCGAGATGCAGTCTGACAGGTATCTCGTCGCCGGATCATCCAAAGCGCATTATAAAAATCTAAACTTCGGGAGGTGCTTTTCGAGATCATACATCTCATGGGCGAAGGGGTTATACTGCATCAGTCGAGCAGGAAACCTCAACCGCTCATGTTTTTACGAATCGAGCAGATATCTCTCAAAAGCTCGTGTTTCCACGTTCCGTTCAGATGCATCACGCACTGAATTGATATCCCTATTTCTGCCTCGGTTTTGCGTGGTCGGGTGTCTTCAGCATGCTACGAGCTGTCTTGTTTTTGCAAGACAATTTTGCAAAGTTCAAGGGATCGCCAAACTCATCATACCGGTCTTCCCTCCTCAGGTAGGCTGGTGTTTGTCGCCACTTTAGTCACTTTCAAAAGGACCATCAGAGGCCTTCTCACGGCAATCTGTGGGGCTTGAAAATTGGTCAAGCATTTGTTAGAGTCGGGGAAGTCGCGCACCCGCAAAGACAGACTCTGAAAGGCCCAGCCTGTTGACATCCACAGTTTGCCCGCCACTGACTTACAACGATCGTTAACCGTAAATGGACAAGCTACCATTCCTGATAGACAGGTTCTGCCGAACCCGTATCGTTTTGAAGGTAAACTCCAAGTTAAGTTACCAGTCGCCCAGGCTTGACTTTGTCTTCCATGCGCGCTGTGATTGATTGGAACATAACAGATCGTCTCTTGTTTTTCAGGTCGACTGGCATCCCGAGCATCGGCGGACACCGTCTTGAAAGCGAAGGATTGGCTGGCCGCGCGAGTGGCCTTTGCAACAGAGAGGGTGCAAACGCGACGAGAAAGCGGTGAGACGGTTGCCTGGAGAACCTTATAAGCAGACGAGGCGGTGCGGCATACTGAAGGATATAGCTTATAGCCCGCAGAGTGGTGATACGCTGGATTTGAGCGGGGCTGAGTCGCTAGAGCAGCCTGAACGAGAAGGGCTACCCGAAACTGAAACGTGCTACTGATAGGAGGAGCTATTCGACAGTTTGCGCAATCTGCTTTCTTTACGGTGTTCGCCATGAAAGTTTCATTCCCGTTCCTGCAAGCAGCGTGGCGAGCAGGTCTCGAAATAGGAAAGCATTCAACGGACCGCTTACTACGCAGTTGACGACCATTCCAATCTTGCCATGATGTGGGTGCACCCCTTTGCTCGTTTTCCCATAAAAAAAGTTGGGTCTGACTTTCTGGTGAACCGGTTCAGTACCCTAACGAAACTGCATCGACGCCTGATGCTCTGGCAAAAGCACGAACAAGAAAGAAGAAATTACGAAAGGAAATGCCTTTATGCTGTAAGATAGCTGAGGCCTTGTCCTCGCCTTCTCGGTACCTACTCCAATCGCCGTAGCTCCTTACGGCCCCGCACTGACGTCACCCACTTGTCATGTTTGCAGCGGCCGACGTGTTCGAGCCGCTTCTGGCGGACATTGCCGCCCATGCTGCCGTCGCCGCTGACGTCAGCACGTTCGGAAGCGAGGGATCCCCCGAGTGGGAGCGAAAGGGGCAACGCACGATTGTGAAGAATCTGTACTGCCGGCTGGAGTGGACCGCGCTGCAAGCCTACAAGGAGGCGATTGGGACGTCAGCAACGGGCGGCGATGACGCGAGCAGGCTGGTGCTGGTGCAGACGAGGATCGCGGAACTGGAGGTGGGGCGCTAGAGACTCGCCTAGTCTCCCAAGTTAGGAAGCTCAACTGCAGGCGCTTTTAGTTGAAATTCGAGTCTGGTTGTGGAAAGAATTTGGCTCTAGATTCTTTTTGCACATTCTTCGGTAAGGCCATCCGACAGTTGATCGGAGAAGCTACGTGCCAGAGGCTGCTCGAAAGGTTTTTGCTCGACGCGTAGCAGTAATGCTATTAAATGGACGTCCGTACCAGACGGAGCGGACTTTTTCTTGCAACTTCTTACGTAGGTTTGCCACACCTTTGATGGAGATAGATTAGTATCCGTAACCCAGGACTGAAGTAGGGACTCCGAACCTTTTTTTTGAATTGGGCGGAATATATGATGATAACAAGACTGTCAGTGAAGTGCCCGCCTGTGACGTGTCCCCTCAGTACTTGGAATGCAGTGGCGGTTTGGGCTCCCTCAGCTACCATCTCTGCAGAAATTGTGGCTTTGGTTACGGGCTAGGCAGCCACCAAGATGTATCAAATCTCGTCCAGATTCAACCGAGTTGGAGATAGCATCAGCTTCTTCTCCAGGCCAAGTCTCGAGGAGATTTGCCCTGGACTCTGCAGCCTTCAAACGAACTTACTTCTTTGGCTGCAAAGATATCGCACCTGTTCCAACGATCGTTCCCTAAGTTAACTCTTCTCTCCGCATGCAGAATGAGCTCGGTGTGACCGCGGAGAAGCTCGCGCGGCTGGCGAACGGGCGCGAGCTGCGGGAGGGGCCAGATGCCGAGAAAAAGAGGAAGAGGCAGAAGACCCCGGAACAGCGGCTGATGGAAGCGGAAGTGGAGGTCCGGAAAGCGAAGGAAGCGATGGAGGCTGCACAAGGGCAGGTGGGCGGCTGAAAGTGTATGCTCTGGATGTACACTTCAATCTCGGTAGCATTCTTTCAATTTAGCTGGAACATCCAACCAGGACAAAACGTACTTTTTACAAAATGTGTAGCGTTCTAACTCAAAGAAGAAATCAAGCTGGGTTTGAGACATATGATCTTTTTGTGAGAGCTTTTGAGGCGGAATCGAAAGCAGTAGTTCGTCAGTTGACGCAAAGGCCCATACCAGAGGACCAAGTTTTGTCTTTGCTAAGATCCGAGAGTCAGGTGTTGGGCCCTGATTGACTACATGTTGGGGCTTCAACACATCGTTGACGACTGCGTCTCGCCTTTTGGATGTTGGGAGAGGTCACTCGTAGGTGGGCCAGAAGCGGGCGACTCGTTGCGACAAGCAAGGCCTTCTAGGTCGCCAAAAATGGCAGAATTTGGCGGAAACTCCAAAAAAAGGGATGTAGGGACACATGCAGTGCAAAGACGGAAGCACACTCAGATCCTTCTTTTTTCCCCTTCCCGCAGGAAAACCACTTGAAGTTTAAGCTCCGGAGCACGGTCAACGGCAAAGGGAAGGCTGTTGAAGGTGCCGACGTGGCACCACTCGCGCATGACGTCACGACAGGGGTTGCTGACGTCATACAGGAAGACAAGACGGTGTGCCCCATCTGCCTGGACTCGTGCCAGGACTGCGGCGCGGTCACGGCGTGCGGGCACGTCTTCTGTGGGGACTGCATACGCGATGTGAGACGCTGGACGCTTATTGCACTACTTCCTTTCAATAGAAGACTGCTTAAGATGTAGCGTTTGCTAGCAATTACGGGCACCTTAAACTGCCTCTTAACGAGAATGTCTTTGATGTTAGACATTAATTGCATCCAAACAATGTGCGGGCACGTCTTCGGTGGGGACTGCATACCCAATGTGAGACGCTGGGCGCTTATTGCACCACTTTCTTGTCGAAGTAAAAAACGACTGCATGAGATGCAGCGTTCACGGGCAAGTATACACCTGCTTAGCATTTCCTGCGACGTCTTCTGGAACAAGACATTGATTTGCACTCAATATAACCGACCCGAACGGTCCGCTTGTGTCGCCCTCGCGCTTTGGACTCGCTGCCCCGCCAAAGCGTGCTTCGATCAGCGCTGACATCACACCTTTTGCTTCTGCCAGCTGATCGACCGGGGCGGTGCGCCTGGCGCGCAGTGCCCGCTCTGCCGCCACCCGTTGCATGAAAAGGACGTGTTCGATGTGGCGGATCAGGTGGAGGTTCCGGACTTTAGCGGGGAGTACGGAACCAAGGCGCGTAACCCTTTACTTTTGGAAGCGTCTGAATCGGTTGGAATATAGCTTCTCCGAGCAACCTGCAACTTACAGTGAACATTTTATGGAACTCAGTCAGTCTGTTGCTAAGTGAAAGTAGTTTAGATTAGATGACACCAAAACTGGCAGGTTGATTGGGAGCAGCTGTAAGCGTGGGTAACAACCTGCGGGGATGGGTGAGGAACGTGTGGGGGTGTAGGGCGGGCAAGGGTGCGGAGCTGGCAGGTTTTGGGTCTGCGGTTTTTACTGTCAGTTTGGCATATCAGACTTCTCTAGAAGATTTTTTCGGACACCCGCTCCAGAATCGTTTCTACCTTGGAGGGGCGGCGTAGTGGCCTTCGTCCCAAACCTAGAAGAGCTGGAAATTCTGTTCCAAAGCTAGTTCGAGGAATAAGCCCGTGTCTGCTTGTTGTTTTCAAACTGGTGGGGCTTTTACTCACGGACGAATACGGCCATGAGTGAGGATGGCCGCTAGCCTTTTGAAGGCCGGCGACCATCCTCGCTGACGTCAGCCGCGTTTTCGCGTAAAGAGCGGCAGAACCAGCTGACGTCATGCTTCTGTCGCTGACGTCAGCAGCTTGTTGCACGCCTTCGCCTTCCTCTCAAGACGAAGTTTGTCATGTCTTCAGTGGTTTCTGACGGAGTGCCGCTGACTTTGCTGACCTGGCTTCCGCTGACGTCACTAACGTCCCTGCGGATCCCTTACTGCCCTTTCGGAGCTGCCGGGGTTGTGCAACGCGGGGTCCCCGACCAAGATCCATTCTATCCCACTTTGCTTGTTTCAGCTCCTTTGACGTCACGGGTTGGCTCCGCTCATGTCATTGACGTCACCCTGCAGATCTTGGCTGTCCTGGCGGAGCTGAGTCGGCGCTGCAGCTCTGGACCAGGAGACGTTCCATTTCATCTGACTTCGGTACCTGGCAAGTACAACAGGGTTGCTGGCGTTATCAACTGGCTTCGCTGACGTTAGCAACGTCCGTGCAGATCTCGGCCGTCCTGGCGGACCTCTCGGCCTTGCGCGAGGCGGGCCCCCGAGCCAAGAGACACTTCCTCAAACCTAGCTCACAAGTATTTATGCTCCCCTGACGTCACCAATTGGCTCCCACCGCTGACGTCACTGACGTCACCCTGCAGATCTCAGCCGTCCTGGCGGAGCTGTCGACGCTGCGCGAGGCGGATCCCCGGGCCAAGAGCGTCATCTTTAGCTCGTGGCGGCCCCTGCTAGCGCTCCTCGGGGAAGCGCTGAAAGAGGGCAACTTCCGATTCGCGACGCTCTGGGGTGAGGGGCACGTTCCCTGCTGAGACCGGACTCCTGATTGCGTTCTCCGAGAAGTTAGAAACTACGTCTAGATCGATACGCTGCTTCTGATTGGAGGTGTCCAAGAATCGTAAGATTGCCTGCCTGCGGGTTACTTTGGGGGTTCGGAGTAGGTACCGGTATGGAGCGGCCGACTTGACGAAGCATTGTGACAACGCTATTGTCCGAGCTTACCATCTCTAAACGGTACTAATCTAGATTGCCACACCCAGGTCCGGAGGAGGTCCGGGCGCGCGCTCTGTCCGACTTTGCCGACGACCCGGACGTCCGAACACTTCTCGTGACCATGGGCGCCCGGGAGGGAGCGGCCGGGTTAAACTTAACCGCGGCGTCAACCGTGTTCATCCTGGAGCCCAGCTTTCACCCCGGTTTGGAGGCGCAGGCAGCCTGCAGGTAAGCGACCAATCAATGCACGGAAGTATTGTCTTCTTTGCAATTCCACTTCACCGTCTTTCTCGCGAGTTAAACAGGCAAGACTGGCCTCTTCTCATGTCGAACAAAAGTGTCTGAATTAGGCGAGACCCCACACATGACCACTGCCGCAGAAAGTTTCTATGATCCACTGAGAATTTGTGTTGAGCACAGGTTACTGTGAAGTCTCCGTGTCTGTTGCTGCTCTAGCGCATCGAGCCATGAAGAAGCTACTCAAGGGTGGAAAGGAGTATCTGCGGGAGCCCTGTCGCACGTCTATCTGCTCAATCTGGAAGGACTCGAGATTGGTTTGCTCAGCGCACCTGTTAACAACCCGTTCAAGGTCTGGGCTGCATTGGACAGCCCAATGATTCAAGGTCGGGCTTACAGATTCGAGACTGAATGTGATTGAACATCGTGTTTCGAGCTTTTCTTCCCTTGCACTGACGCTGCCTGCCACGTGGCCGTTGCAGGATACACCGTTTGGGCCAGCTCCAGCCCACCCGCGTCGTCCGCTTTCTGGTAGACGCCACCGTTGAACCGAAAATAGCGGCGTTCGCGGCGTCGCGGCTTGCGAAGAGAAAGCAAGCGAGCAAGCATTCCGTCTTTACGGAACTGCGCGGGGCGGACTTGCTGCAACTCGTCGAGACTAGGTGACAGGTGTAATGAAAGCTTAGGGGGTTTCACATAATTTGTACAATAGCTAATAGGCAGCCTTCAAAGTAATGGTCGTGTTTTTAACGCTTCCCATTGAGTCTAGGTTAACTCGGGCCACATGTATGTATACACATCTTGCGGTAGCTGTCCTCATTTACCGATTGCCGCATGCTATCACAAATGCTCCATATGTCCAGCCAATTGTCCGCATGGGCTGCCGCACCGGGTGCCCGGGTGACATGGGAGCCTGCGCGGTATACTGGGCCCGGGGTCGGAAGACCACAATTGGTTCGGCTCCGGTCCCCAGATGTTTTCGTGTAGGAGTCGACCTCGCACTATTGCTCAGCGGTAAGGCGCTTTTTCCTGAATCAACGTCGGACATTGGTGCGCTTGATGCAATGCGCAATCACTTTTTCTTGAGATTGAAGGGCCAGCTAACGGATTTCGATCGCACCGCAATGGCGTGACTCAGTTGCTGCAGTTTCGAGACTCTCCTGACCCGGGCCGCAATATCATATGTAGTCTTGCCGCAAACGCTAGTCGAAAAGCGTGACGCGAATAATGCATGCATGGTGCAAGTCTAGTCGGTAGCTCTTTGTTGGAAAGGCGGCTGCGCGCGTGGTCCGATCTTGCATGGCAACCACGTGCTGCAATGCATACATGAGCATTCTGGAACGCATGCGGATCGTGCTATTGTCGCGCGCTAAGCTCACTGATGTGAAGCGCATGGTCCGAGCATACCTTATTTTAGTACTAGACTGTGTGGTCTTGCAGCCTATTGCCCTAAAGCGAGTCATGGTGCAGTTCTTGCACCGAGTATCAGAGCTACGTTCGAGGTTTTGCTACTATCCTTCGTAAACCACAAAGTAATCAACTGAAGAGTTGATTTTGTGCGTGCTCCGGAAAGATGCCGCGCAAAACAAACATGTTTGCTCTTGAGACACCGCATAAATCTATACTTGCCCATTCTTTGGTAGTCCAGATTTGCAGTGTTGCTTCTACATTAACCTGGCCTAAACGCGAACGTCTTTCAATTGGCATCACTGGCAGCAAGCATCAACCCCTACTTGACGTAGACTTGGAGGCTTTGAAGCTGATATCAAGGCATCCGCTCAGGATACGGAGAGAGAGTGTCGTCTAAGTCCACATAAAAACTCGTTTAGTACAGATCTAACAAGTCTCAAGAAGCAGATCTCTAGCCGCTCTGGTCCAACTCCCACTGACCTACCGTCCAACCTGGATCTGAGTCATAGGGGCAACATCCGAATCATGCGGGCTACCAAATCGAAGCTCCCCGCTTGTGTGAGAGTTGCCAGGAATCCCCCAAGAGTCGCTCGAAGATAGGTGCGCAGGTGGCGCGGTCGGAATCAAAAATGACTGAGGCCCATTGGCAGCATCTAAGGACCTGTCATTGAGTAATTCCAGCTTGTACGCGATTTCTTTCATGTTGGGACGCTCCCTCGGTCTGTGCAAGCTCGTGCAGCGAAGAGCCAGATTGATGTATTCAGCGACAATCTCTGGAGGCCACAATAACTCAAGGGCTGGATCCACAATTCGGTGGACATCCGGCATCAAGTCGGCCACCTGCAGAACACGTGAACTGGTGTTACCATAGCGTTGACAACTCAAATCAAGGGGAGCAGGAAAAGTGCACATTATATGCTTTGTCCGCACCAAGAGCACAAGAGGAGATTGGGCAGTACGCTTGCCCCGTTGTTGTCGTTTGTGGACAGCACACCTTGATCACTGAAGATGCTAGCAGTCGTTTCAAAAAGGACTCCGGCTCGAACTCAAATGAGCTACTGACTGGACTGGAATTGGACTGAAACAGAGGTCCAAACCAAACAGTCGCTCACTCCCGGCCTGCTCAGCATCTATTTGAGCTTCTCTTTGAGCTTCTCTTTGAGCGTTGACCATAATACAGTGGTAGTCTGCTCTGTACAGCCTCCATTTAGAACCACTTCAATATGTTCCTTAAAAGACATACCCCGTTCGCCAGATTCTCGGTGCCCCTCGCATCGCGGACGATGACGTCCTTGCCCGTGAGGATCTCGAGCAGGACCAGACCAAAGCTGTAGACATCGCTCATCGACGTCAACTGCAGAAGAGGATGGCGAACACGACACATTGCTCTCCTTCGCAACTTTCATAGGATGGCGAACACCACACATTGCTCTCCTTCGCAACCTTCTTCCATAGCCGAGATTTTGACATGGCCCGGTTCAAAAGCTCTCAGACCTGGAAGCTTCAAGATTGACTTGAGGCTCCAGCAAAGACAATTCCATGGTTTATTCCGCCCACCAAAAGACACTGCGTTCATGCAACGGTTGAAGGAACTCTCCACGGCACCACTTTGTTTGAATCCAAAAAGGCTCCGGCTCGCCTATTATGTGGCTTGATGAGCAATTAGGCTCCTAAGCCAGCTGGCCAGCGTTCTTACTCTGGTCAAGCATATGTGCACTCACTGTTGACACTAAAGCAAGCCAAAGAGTCTAACATTTGCAAGTTCACCTGCCCACTTGTGGAGTATTCGGGTGCCATGTACCCCAAAGTGCCGGCGATGCGCGTGCTGACGTGAGTGGCTTGGTCGAGGATGTTCTTAGCCAGACCAAAGTCTGCAACCTGCGGGGAAGAGTGTGGTATATATCCAGACGTTCCCTTTGAGATCATTCTGGTATGACCAGTAGAGAGGAGCTCAATAGCATCGCGGGCTCGACGCGGTGCTGCTCCTACGGATCATTGCACTCTGGTAAGCACAAACGATGGCGACGACATCGTCAATGGTTTGCAGAGGAAATGGAGGTACTGAGTGCTTCTCGAAAATCAATGTCTACGGTGGGTGATAGAGAAGAATCCCTACTTATAAACAAGCGTCTTGGCTCTAATGCACAACGGCTCCTTCCTGCAAGCAGTGCATGATCAAACCCTTTTGAAGTCCGTACGCGATTCGTCTACTTACCTTGGCATTCAGATGTTGATCCAGCAGCACGTTGGCTGCCTTCATGTCACGGTGAACTAATGGCGGGCTGATGCCGTGGTGAAGATACGCCAGTGCTTGGGCAGCACCCACCGCTATTCGCATTCTGCTTAACCAGTCTAGTTTCGGCACCCCTCCTGAGGAACGGTCTCAAGAGAAGGCATCAGAAACACGAAGCTTGCCAAGGTCCAAGCAAACGTTCGGGGAATAGAGGCCTGCACAATTCATGAACGTTCTCGGACATAGAAGGTTGCAAAGACCAGAACATCGCATAAGAGCTACCGAAGCTCGCCCAATTGAGAACTAGCGAAATTTGCATGCTTTACTCCGTGCTCAAGCAGCAACGATGGAGGGCTTGGACCTCGATATGCATGGTTGACTAGGAATATACAAGCTTCCAGGTGCAGGGCAAGTACTTGGAAATGATCGGTTACAGGCAACTGAAAGTGAAAGCCCTCCCTAATTGTGCAGGCCAAAAAGAGACAAGAAAAGACAAAAAGCGCTCAATACCGCCCACTTCTTTGAGCTTTAGAAAGACAGAAGCCCTGGCGCTGAGTTCCATACAATGACCGTTCGCATGTGTTGAATGCTGATGAGGCCTTTCTTTTTTCAGCTTACCATGGAGTGCCTGATATAGGTTGCCGCCACTGCAATACTCTAGCACGAGGATGAACTCCATGCTGCTTGTTGTTGCAAACCCGAGGAGGTTGACGAGATGCTTGTGTTTGATGTTGCTCATTACTTGGGCTTCTCGCGCAAACTGATTCTCATTTCCATAGACCTACAAAAGGTACATCAGCACTGTGATCACTAGGGGCGGCTTGTCTTAGAAACGCCTAATTTAGCAGGCTAGAAAAAGCCCTCAGCCACAACGTCTGTTGCATTCTGCAGTCAAGAAAGTGATTGAGCTGGTATCCAGGCAAGGAGGAGCATGCGAGCATGATACACGAGCTTGTTTCACCGAAGTAACATGCAAGCCAGATACAGGAGCTTGATTTCCATTGTTCTACACAAGCCATAAAGGACAACGACCTGTGCTTGTGTGAACATCTGTTGTACTATATTTGAAAAAAGTATGAATGAAACTAGCGCGACGGTCAGTTAACCAAATCTTGCTAATATTGTTGCTTGCGACTTGGAATCCTACCTTCAGAGGATCGTCTAGAACCTTGAGGGCCACGATGCTGCCATCTGAGTTTGGACATTTGTACACCTGGACCAGTACAGGCGGCAATATGTTGTGGGATTGGAAAAGAGCTTCTCCGAAATCACCCAAAACGAGATGAAAGTCCAACTTTTGCTTGCAATTGACAAAGGAGCAATGCTTGGAGGCATTTGTCAATCTGCTCTCATCAAAGAGCAAGCACACCCATGTTACAGAACAATCTGTACTTGACATGTGGATGTTCTTGCTTCTCAGACAAAGTTTGCGCAACAGGGCAACTCACCTTCCCAAAGCCTCCGGTCCCTAAGAGATATTTGGGACTAAAGTTGTCGGTGTTTGCCAGCAATGCTTGTCCCTGATATCTGCGGAACCCCCCAAATGACAGTACTGATGCAGAATGTATGTCCACTTCAAAGGAGGCCGTATCCTGCTTAGAAGTCGGTGCTGATGCTTTGTCGGCGTCCAAGTTGCCCTTTAGGTGGTTTCCTTCTTCTGCCATAAGACCTAGAAAAAGGAGCATTTGGAGTATGAACTAAATGTTGTGGACATGGCAAGCTGAATGGATAGACAATTCTGATCTTCCCCTTCAGAGTTGGTGCGGGCATTTTCAGAGAAGCAGACAGGCATGGCCCAAAAATCAGAAACCATGCCTCAATAAAAGAAAGACGAGACACGCGATGAGGTGCTGCACATTAACAGCTCCTAGAAGCAGATTGAGTTACTTTCATCCAACAAAGGAAGAAGATACAGAATTTCAAGCCATTTGGGTGCAAGCCACCAGCTTGTACGGCGCAAACAGCGTCTTGGGGCACAGCTTACAAGAATGTGAACAACAACCCAGGACTGTGGGGAGTTGCTTCTCACCTTGCTTGCCGCCTTTGCTCTGGAATGCAGAGCCACCACACGAACCTTGAATCACGCAATTGACCAAGGAGGCCACCGCTGTGACATAACAGAAAATCAGCAGCGGTATGTTGTATGACCTTCCACAATGACAGCAGTAGTATTCGGCTACCGAGCACTGTTTGGCTAGAAGAATGACCGCTATAACGATGGCTACGGCAGAAGCTCCAATTCCCCTGCAAAAGCACAAAGCTTCTCAGTTTCTGAACACTTGAGCACGACGACGGGTCGACCACCTGAGCTGCATCATACTGACAGATCATGTTGTATGAACGCTGCAAGAGAGAAGCTTGGGAGAGTCCTAAGAGCAAGTTGAGCATCTATTCCAAATGACATTGTCTAGAAAGTTCGGAATAATTCCTAGCAACAAAGGGCGACCAACTTTTCCGGGTCTCTCATTATGAAGAGGATCTTGGCGCAGAGAGTCTCTCAGGCCAACTGCTATGCATAAATGCACCTACAAAGGTATCTGTCAAGTTGACAAGGCAAGCTGGACACAGTGACAAAGTGACGGAGTCAAATGAATCTCAAGTGAAGTCCGTCTCACAAGTCGGGGAAGGCCACAAGATCTCAAACATTTTGGCAAAGTGCCCAGCGCTCCATCTTATCAAGTACCTTAGTTCAATATCAATCCAATATGGGTCCAACATGAGGTTGACGCCATCCCCAAAAACTCCTGCCAATCTTTAGTCCATCTGTCTATTGGCATAATGCGCATATTTAGTAGGCCTTCAGGATTAGAGAGGAGCCAATGGTTCCGATTGGAAGCTTACGGTAATGCCCGCAAGAGAAAACGTCTCCACAAGCGATCCTTTGAGGTCCATACAAAATGCAGCACCGAAGCAAGGATTCCCAAGAGGAAAGCCAAAATCGCCGCAATAAGCGCTATTATCTCGTTGCGCAGAAGGGCTGCCGCGACCTCCTCATCCTCATAGTTGTACAGAGAATGGAACTTTGATCGATGACAGTACGCCAGCTACTAGTCCAAGTATGCCTGCGAGCAGAAAGCCCAAAGGGACGGCGGAGGCAGCTAAACGGGAGCGCAAAGACCCCTCCACGCTCACGTTAGAAGGTGGCGGCATGCCTCCTAATGTGGAAGTGGAAGGTTTCAAAGGTTTGAAGTGCATGATTATGCTCTAAAGTTAAACCTGGCAGAAACCGAACAATGATGTTCAAGGCTTTGCGATGCAACACCGCTCTGGCGGATTTCTTCAATGAAGAGCTTTGAAACTTTGCTCCAGAGTCCAGATTCCAATCCTACCCAGGTACCTGGCAGCCCGCCTGGCAGACCCCTCTACATACCGGTAGTACAGACTCATGATCATTCGTGTCCACCCTGGTGCCAATAATTAATGACAACATTCTTGTGATTTACCTACCTATTATAGTATTTGGACGCCCGAGGGGGCGTTCCTTGGTGAACTTTGAATGGACTCAAGGGAGTGCTCGATATCGGTCCGACCGGAATTCCGTCGCCGTCCCGGTCCGCCCCGTCGTGCCTCTAGCTAAAAAATATTGTACAGGTCGGGGCGTTTTTTTGAGCGGAAATGGGGGGTCGGGGTCGCCGAAGGCGGCCCTAGGGGGTCTCACGGGGCGAAGCCCCGGGGCTAGGGGGCCCGAAGGGACCCCTGATTGTGCTTGCCCGCGTGTTCCGCGCGCGAGCACTTGCCGATGATGCAAACGTATGATGGACAGGAATACTTTTTAACGGCTTCCACAATGTCTAGATAGACCAGCTTTGATATAGGACTTTGGATAAGAGACTAACCTAAGTGAAAACTTACCATGCGGAACATGATAAGTCTATCTCCAAAAAGCTTAGGTTGTGTCGTCGTTAATTAGCCTTGCTTCAAATCACATAGGATTGCTTCTATGGCTCACAAAACTAACTACGAGAAACTTGTACCCGTACCGGTAAAACGGTCGGTTGTGAAATGAAATCATACTTGTTCAAAGTGGATCAGCGGCAACTTTTGGGCAAACGCGCATCACGTTGCTGACTGACCGTTGGAACATGTACCGTATGCATCTATGCAAACTCGCTAAGACTAACGTACTGTACATTCGATCAAGGCCATTACACACAATATTAAGGCCGGCTTGCTCATACCCGATTTCTATGCGGCCATGATATATTTGAACCGAAAAAATGTTCATTGTCTCATGGCAACGATTCGTGAAACACCGGTGTTCTCTAAATTAAACAGATACTTATTGCGATGCATTCACGGTTCGACCGTCTTAACCTAAGAAATCGACAATAAACACGCTCAATAAACAGATTAACTTGCCCCTCCTACAACGACTCAAGCTTTTGGGCACCTGCATTGTCCTATGGGTAAGCCGCAACCAGGCTGCTTTCTACAGTGCTTCTTAATACCTTTGCCACCTCTATTATTCTTAGCTGGTCGAGAAGAAAGCGATGGGCCACTTTGAACATGGAAACTTGTGTTTGTGAGCGGTGGATGAAAGAACATGGGGTGTGCAACTCCGCCCCCCATGGGCAGCGCTGCAATCGATGGGTAAGCGGGGGGTGCAATTGAAGTGTTGTGAGCAAAAGTGGGTGGGTAAGGATGGATTCCACCAACGAACGGGTTGATGGTGGTCGAAGGTGCATAAGTGGGATGCTGCAGAGAAACGGAATTGTGAGCAATGAGTGCATTGAGCGAGTCTTTCCGAATGAAGTCTTTGACCAGGCCCTTCTCGTACTTTTTCAGAAGAGGAATGTTCTTCTGATGGATCGCATTATCTGCCCCTGAGATTTGAGAGACCGTGAGAGCAGCCCTCTGATTCCACTCGTGACACATATTTACCCAGTTGGTGGAGGAGTTGGTGGAGTGCATGGAATAAAGCTCGGAAAACAACCGAGTCTCCGCAGGAGTCGAGATTGGGCGGATCAGCTCGCGAAGCGCTGGCCGTCGTACGCCACGTTTTTTAATGAATGGTAGCCGCCCATGTCTTTTCACCTCTTGGCAGGGCTCTGAGTGTAGATGCACGTTCCCACCAGACCGTTGGATGGACCCCGATTGTGGCTCCCCTGTACGGCAACAAGCGTTTGGTTAATAACATGAAATTCCAACGAGCTTCGGAAGTTCTCGTAGACGTGTCTTCAAGCGAAATTGTAACGAAAGATATCCGAAAATTCCTCAATGAAATACAGCATTATGGGTAGTGAGCAGAACACGGAATTGCGGACGGCGAGGTCGTAAAAGTTCCAAGAAGACAAGGCAGACATACCTAGGAAACGCAGGTGACACGTCAGGTCGGTTGATTGTGGCCAACATATATCCATTCCGACAAAGCTGTTGAATGTTCAGAACCGCGATCTTAAAGCCAGGACGGCACAATGGATTTGAATATGTGGTTGACACACTGAGCTCACGACCGCTTTTACTAACCTGCTGAGGAAGCACCGTGTAGCCCTGCACCATCCGGCTGGAAACGTACACCGGGAATAAACGGACCTGCAAGACGGAATCGTCTTTGTGATCGATCGACTGAAAACTTGACGTTTTTGTGACGTGCGCAATGCTCTTCGAAGGAGGCCGCGGCAGTCCTCATGCCCTTAATGTGAACGACAATCTAGCACTGCAGATTTTTCGAGCGCAACTCTTCAAGGCTTCGAATCTGAGCACTCTGAAAACGGATGCTTCGTATCTCTGAAAAGCGAGCTGGCTCGGAAGTAACCGAATCTCAGGGACTGCCGTCCAACAACGGATCGTAAAAGATTCTAACGGGACTCACTTTCTATTGTGGAGCTGGTCGGAGCGATGTCCCCGTCGTCTCGCTTTCGTTTCGTCACTGCAACATGAGAAGAAGGATCAGATAAACGCTCTCTCAAGTCGAAGCCTCAAGGGTACACAAAATTGAAGATTGAAGATTCAACGAAGACTTACTTCTCGGATTGCGAAGCTGGAGGAAGGATCCGTTGGATCGTAAAGCAAAGTGAGAGAGTTCTCACCAAGCTTCTCGCGGCGGAACAGCCGAGCCGCAACTTGCAACGTGTTCCTTGTTAGCCCGGCGTGCACAGGCTGCGCTCCCGGTTGCGCCGCGGCGCGCGCGACACCATGCAGCCCGTCTTGACTGGGGCGGAAGGAAGGCGAGGGCTGTTCCCCCGGTTGCGCCGCGGCGCGCACGACACCAGGCAGCCCGTCTTGACTGGGGGGGAAGGAAGGCGAGAGTTGTCCCCCCGGTTGCGCCGCGGCGCGCGCGACACCAGGCAGGCCGTCTTGACTGGGGCGGAAGGAAGGCGAGGGCTGTCCCCCCGGTTGCGCCGCGGCGCGCGCAACACC